CTACGACAATTGCGACGTTTTCTTGGCATGGCTTCGTGGTACCGCAAATTCCTGCAGGATTTTGCTACACTGGCTGCGCCTCTTACATCTCTCACGAAAAAGAACACCAAGTACGTATGGACGGACGAGCATCATATCGCTTTTACACAGATAAAAGCAATTCTAGCTACGACTCCTGTCTTGGCAAAACCTGACTTCTCTGCGCCGTTCATTCTGGAGTGTGACGCCAATGATACGGGCCTTCGTCTTACTTCAGAAGACAGAAGAAGGGGACCGCGTCCTATGTTTTGCTAGTCGCATCCTCACACCTACAGAACGCCGACTATCGGTTACTGAACGCGAATGCCTTGCAGTTATATGGTCTATAGAAAAATTCAGGCCATACATTGAGGGATATCGCTTCACAGTGGTGACTGATCACCACAGCCTAGTATGGCTCCAAAATCTGCGGAGTTCCAATGGTAAGTTAGGCCGATGGTCTTTGCACCTCCAGGCATACGATTTTAACATCGTACACCGCAAGGGCAAGGATAATGTCCTGCCCGATGCACTTTCTCGTATGTACGAGACAGATGAAGACGTAGTAGCTTCGCTAGTCTCTTTCACTGTTGCAAAAGATATAAAGGACCCGTGGTACCGGCGTAAGTTCCTACAGGTTGATCGGGATACAAAAGCACACCCTTATTGGAAGATTGTTGGCGGTCGTTTGTATCTGTATCGACCGGACCCTGTGATCGACGACCTCATTGGAGACGACGACACCTGGAAGCTCGTTGTTCCAAGAGAACAGCGCGAGCAGGTTCTCATGGAATGTAATGAGGAACCCACAGCTGGCCATTTAGGCTGACACAAAACTCACCAGAGGGTGGTGCTACGTTATTACTGGCCAAGTGTCTACAAAAATACCGCACACTTTGTATGTAACTGTCAAGTGTGCTAGCAAATTAAAGTCGAACAACGAGCCCCTGCTGGACTGATGGGAAAACACGTTGTTTTCCGTCCATGGGTAATCGTCTGTGGCGATACGATGGGCCCCTTTCTGAGATCGCCTCAAGGAAACGAACACTTACTCATTTTCATGAATATCTTCACGAGATGGATAGACTACTATTCCGATCCGCAAGGCCAGTGCCAAAACGATCAAGAGAGAGATTAATCATCGCATCTTCTTACGTTTTGGAATCCCTGATAGATTTCTATCAGACAATGGCGCGCCCTTTAAAAACTCGTTAGTCGACTCATTCTTAGATACACATGGCGTCTTTCATGGCACATGCGCTCCTTATTCCCCCAAATCGAACCCGACCGAGCGAGTAAATCGCACCGTCAAAACTATGATTGCGGCATTTATTTCGAATAAACATAATACGTGGGACGAGCATATTGGCGAGTTCGCCTTTGCCTACAATACTGCTATCCACGAGACTACTCGCTCCAGTCCTACCTTCTTAAATTACGGACGGAATTCAGAACCACCATATAACGTTCGACGCAGGGTAGAGCGCGCTACTCTACAGCAGCTAGAAACTACGGCCCATGAAGAACGGTACTCTCGCATGCAAAAGCTTGACGAATTACGAGCTGATACACGCGAGAGGAGTGAAGCTGCTCATCTGCGACAAGAGAAGTACTACAACCGGAAACATCGCGATATTAATTACGACATCGACGATAAAGTTTGGGTAAAGAACCGAGTACTTTCCTCTGCGGCTAAAGCCATAGCTGCTAAACTCTGCCCTAAATACGCTGGCCCATTTGTTGTGATATCTCGCCTTGACATGAATTCTTATCAGCTTCGGAATGAAAATGGAGTCGATATAGGAAAAGTCGCTGTCTGTGACATGAAGCCCTGTTTCGATGCTGAGCAATTTCCCTCGGACGCGACACGGGATGAAGGTGACGTTCTATACGGGAAAGATTTAAAGCTTTCCGTTGATGAAAGTGCCCGCGCAGATGCTCTACCTATGATGGAGGAATCAACGGTAACAGCTTCTTTTGTGCCTGTGAATGATGATACAAAGACTCAGTTAAGCCCAAGCCCAGTTCTTCTGGTACCAAGTGTCATTGCTCATTGAAAAAGAGGCCGACCACGTGGCTCTAAGAAAGCCAGACCGCTGCTGGTAACGACCTCGCCCCGGCGGCTGCGCCCTAGAGGCAAGCTTGACGCTTAACATCCCTCTATTACAGCGTGCTTACACTACACGACACCATAACAACACTAAGCCTACGCTATACTCTTCAAGACATTCCACAGTCACTTCTGCCCTTGGCTTGCTTACTGCCCTGCTTCCGCTTATGCTTCACTGCTTTCAATTTCTTTTCTTACTTAGCTTTTATTAATTAAGATGAATCCTTTACAGAAAAGTTTTACCCGTTAACAAAGCCCGTGAAGAGCCAGACGTGGTCCAGGTGACCATTCCCCGAAACCTGCTGGCCTAATTCGGGGAAGTCGCCTCTGAGATGGCTAGAGCGTAGGCCCCGCTCCCGCCAGAGGTTAAGCCAGAGTTATCCTCGATCGAGGAGCTGGCTCTGCACTGGGCGGAACGATACGCCGCCAACCACCGAGAGGAAGAGGAGCAGGCTAGGCGCTGGACAGAGTGTAACGCTGTCAAGCGCAGAGAGGAAGAAGAGGAGCGACGTCTGCGTGCTCAACGAGCTTTCCCCGCTCCAGACCACCAAAATAAGAGGCAGCAGCCATACTCCGAGCCGCCCCGATCCTCCGTGCGCCTGACCGACGTCACAGAGGATGAGCTAACACCGGCCCAAACCCACGAAGAAAGGTCGGATGACGCAAAAGCTACGGCGCGATCGTGCCGCTCTGTGCGTATCAGGACGCAAGAAGAGGAACGGCGGGCCTATGCTGCCGTTATGACGTTCACCGACCACCCTGACGCTCGTGTTCGAGCTGCCGCATCTCCTGGCTTTGTCCAAAAGGTCCGGGATGAAATAGAGCGCCAAGCCTTTCTCACCCAAGCTGCAGAACGCTGGGATGAGGTCAAGGCCATCCAGAAGGAGCGCGAACGCCTTTTGGTTCAGCAAAAGCGTCAGGAGATCTTGGAGCTCCAACGCGAACTGGCTGGACTGTACGCATGGGCTTCTGCCGCGACTGCGAGCACTGCTATCCCTGGTCCGTCCCCGAGCCACATGCCAGGTCCAATCCGTTCTGATTCTCGCCTGCTCACTCATGAAGAGCGTTGCGAGATAGCAAGGCTGGCTCAAAAGCTGCCTGGCAGATTTTGCCAGGGAAATGGGGGTATAACTCCTCAATACTCAGCGCTCGTGCACCAAGATGCCACAAGGCCATGTGGCAAGTACGATAGTCCAGCCGCGGAGAAGAGGGGCATTCGGTTCTGCTACGTCTGCAACTTGACGGCAGTCAGTAGGACCGAAAACTGCCCCAACTTCTTGCAACATTGGAAGTTCGAACAGCCGCGATACACCTACGGCGACGAATTTGGTTAGCGTCGCCACCATTAGGCTACCATCAGAAAGGCCACCTCTCTTCAAGTCTTCTGCCTCAAGGCCTCGACACCGAAGGAAGAAGAGAGAAGAGCGAAGATTAAACCTGAAGATCTTTCGCCTCTTGGCCTATACGCCATTCAAATTTTGCGCCGTCGCGCCTGTAATGTAAGGCTCTGCCGTGCCCATTTATTTCCCTAATCATGGCATTAACGACACTTTAATTTATTCTCCTTCTTTAGCACGGCCCCTATGTCGCAAAGAGAGCACGATAGGGAAAATAACTCTTGTTCTTTTTCTTTATTATAATAAATTACTTATCTTGACTATCCCCTGTAGTTTTTTTTGCGAGAGAGACCTGAGGTTCGAGTTGGTACCGCACCCGTTACCAACGTCTGAGGGTGGGGGATATAACGAGTTTAACATCAACTCGTTATGTTTTTCACTCTATATATGACCATAATATTAAGAATATCATATATTTAAAACGTTATATTGTTTGAACTATATTTCTCCTTAGCAGCAGCAGACGACGACTGCGGAGAAGGTAAGAGAGAGCGCCAGCAGAGAGAGACCGCGTGCGCATGTAGGCATAGCGACATGTATGATGAATCGCGCACCGCGCGTAGCGTGACGAAGGGCCAGCAATTAGCCGATAGCTTACGAGCCATACAGAGGCATTCATTCGTGCATGCGTCTTATACTAGCTTTTCTTTGTGGATCGCTTTGTGACAACAGAGAGACTTTCGACTGTGATAAGAGAGAGAAGTGCAACTGTGCGTGCAATACCTCTCCTTCTTCGCGACAAGCGACACCGTAGTTTGGCGAATTCTGCAATCGTGCCGAATCGTAATTGAAGGCCTTCGCTTAATGTAAGTACCGACCGTTCCTTAGATCTCTCTCTAGCTTTGCCTATCTCGCCGCTCTCTCTCTAAACCGCCCTGTACACTGACTCGTACATAAACTTTATATATTCGTATACTATTAGAACTGCATGGATTTTCTTTCGTAATACCTTTCCTTCCTATCGCTTCCCTCAACTTTAGCGATTTAAGCTGCGTGACCCACGACGCTCTCCGCGGGTCAGTTGGCGATCTGACCTACCGGGCCGGTCTTGCGTAGCAGAACGTAGTGCCGCGAAGAGTTGCATTTGTGCCAGCCACTATTCAATCTCGGTTTAATTAATATATTGTAGCGGTCTAAATCCCCGTTATAAGGTCAAATCAGAGGTCACCGTTGGGTTCCTCTTTAAAAGTTACATAGGGTATGACTAACCTCATGCGGTTTTCCGAATTTTCCGGGGTTTCCATACTTTTTCCTCACCCTGTATATTTCCAATATATAAGATGTATAATGATCAGTTTTATCACTTATTTTATTCTTTTAATTACTGTAAATAGCTTCCCTATTTCTTGGATAGCTACTTTTGTGACGTATTGACTTATATAATACGAAAATAGTTACTAAATTTCAGCGGAATAGTATTTAAACTAGAAACACTTATTTTTTAATCAACGTAAATTTTATTATATTATTTTCAGCTCAGTCTTGTCAGTGCCATATCATACGAATCTCGGTGCGGAGGTCAAGTGTTCGCACAAACTGGACACTATCACGGTTCAATCGTGCGTATTAAGGAGCTTAAATTCTCAAGAAAAAAAGATATCTCTAGGGATGTTATGAAAGAAATACGCTCACTCCGAGAAATTAGACATGGTAATCTTAACTCATTCATTGGAGCTTGTGTAGAGCCAATGAGAATATTACTGATTACTGACTATTGTGCTAAGGGAAGTCTTTATGTAAGTATTTTCTTATTCACTTTATACATTACATAGTATTTTTATGTAAAGCCCCTGAATCAAAATTTTTTAGACATTTTTTCTGTGTATCGATTCTATTGTATTCATATAGGACACAGCCTGAGTACAAATATTAGGATTATTAAACTCCAAATCAAAAATAAATTTTTGATAACGGGTAAAAGATACAAATGTTTCAATTTTCGAAATATTTGTAATATTTATAACCTTTTAAACCATGAAGGACTCATTATAAGAATCAAAGTGTACATAAGTATCAGGATGGCTTACATAAATCATTACATTATTTAACGTCGCTGCAAGTTAATGTCGTTAACAAATTATGTTCCCTGATGCGACGTTAACCACCATCTTGATTCGTAATTTTATGAACGGGTACTGCAGCGTATGCGTTTCTTTCTTCATCGATACTGAAAATAGAAATACAGGATATCAAATTACACATTAATTTTCTGAATGAATAGTTAAATTATTTAAAATCAAAATTGTTTAACCCTAGAATTGAGTATACAATCTTAAAAAATTCCCTCTATATATCTGAATTAAACTATGATTCGTTAAGAAAAAAAGTAAATGTTGCTGACAAGAATTAATTTCAATGTTTAACTTTCAGGCGGTCGGCATTTGTGAATTAGTCCTATTGTACTTCCAAAATTTTTTCTCTAAAATAAATTCTAAACGGACTAGTATGGCTCCATCTTGAGATGAAGCCGATCAGCATCATTCCGGCCGCTTGATGGTTAATAAAAAAATACTGGCTCATCAAAAAACAGAGTCAAGGACCGTTCTAGTTAAATAATAAATTGAATTGATATTAATTTATCTTTGGATATTTCACAACTAGTTTCATTTAGTCCAAAATATAGCTATTCTAATTATTATTAAAATCAAAAATAAATATTATTATTAAAATTATTTAGATTCATATACTGTCCAAACTATTAATAAAAACAAATTCATACGCACTAATATAGTAAAATATACTGAAAATGCACATACAAAACTTGTACGTAATTTATACAAAAATTATACAAGAATGTATACAAGATTTATATAAAACTTTCCCAAGACTTTTACAAAATTTGACATATCTTTGTACAAAATCTCACATCTCATACATGTCTTGAACAAAACTTATGCAAATATTGTACGAATTTGGAACAAAATAATTTTTTACAATAAAAAAATTACTTTCAATAAGAAATTTATTTTGATTATAATTTTACAATAATTGACTGTTTCATTTATAGTTTGAGTGTTATTTTTGCCCTGATGATCAAGCCTAATCGCTATGCACGTCGTATAATTTACATATTGACGTAAATAACGTAATAACGTATTACAAAAATTATCTGCCAGCTCAAAAATTATAGGACTAAGGATGTTAACGCACTGATTGGTTTCTATTGTATAATAACGAGTCCTAGTTTATGCATTTATGAACTAATTCTAGAAATGAATTTGACAATATGACTATTAATTCATTGACGCTTAGATAGATGGCATATTCGAAAATAGTAAGTTCATTTCATACAACTCCTTGCATTTCGCAAGCAAAATTGCGACTGATTATATAAGAGAAATCAGTGACAGCATTAACATCCCCAATCCTATAATTTCTAGGCTGGCAGATAAATTTTGTAATATGTTATACTACGTAAATACAGGATGTCTCAGACCACTCGTGCACCCCTTCTAGTTTTTCAAAAACGCATTTCCAGAAAATATGAAACATAAAAAATTTCAGAAAATCAGTCAAGGATTTCAGCGGTGACCTTTATTTTGACTTTTGACCTTGAATTCTTAAAGAGCACGAAATTTTGAGTCAAAAGTGTTTTTGTAATTTTTTTTATTAGGGGCACAGTTTCCGAGAAAGAAATTCATTAACATTTACAATTCAACATGTGAAGCCTTTCAGATAATTGCAAGCCATAGGTTTCACGAGTTAAATTACAAATGTTAATGAATTTTTTTCTCGAAACTGTGCCCCTAATAAAAAAAATTATAAAAACACTTTTTACTCAAAATTTCGTGCTCTTTAAGAATTCAAGGTCAATAGTAGGGGTTTCTATTAAAAAAACCAAGTTGACCTTGAGGTGCCCTTGAAAATCATTTCCAAGGTAAAATTAAAGGTCACCGCTGAAATCCTTGACTGATTTACTGAAATTTTGTATGTTTCATATTTTCTGAAAATGCGTTTTCGAAAAACTAGAAGGGGTAGACGGGTGGTCTGGAACACCCTGTACAGCGATTAGGCTTGAACATCAGCACAAACGTATAATACTGAAATCATAAATAAAATAGTTGATTATTGTAAAATAATAATGAAAATTACTTTTATAAATTAAATAGTCCTGAATTTTTCACTCAAGTTCTTATGCAAGATCTTATCGTCTATTTTCAGAAGGGAATTTGTTAAATAAAAAATGATTAATATATATTATATAATGTGTGACGGTAAACGTCTTATTAGCGCTAACGACCCAACCATGCGGCTGCCCGCGAGGGCAGCACCTACCGGTCGGGGAAAATGTGACGAGGGAATTCGGCACGCGACGGGACGAAACGCGCGCGTATGAAAATGAACCAGTTGAGGATTTGCTATCGATACCTCCAGCCGCAATTAATAAGAAAGAGTCTTTCCCGAGTTTTCCGGAGTGTAGAGACGAAAAGAGAGAAGCTGTGCCATAGCCTAACGGAGTGGAGTGCGTGCAAGTGTGCGTGAGCGGAGAGTTTCGCCATTGAGGGCGAAACCGCAATCGAGAGACATCATCGCCGGCAGATAAACATTACCGAAAGACATAGCGTGTGCCATACGAGCCTTCTTCATCTCACTTGTTACCCGTGCGAGAGTTAATAAGGTAAGCTGGCCAGTTTAATTTCGCGATCGCGGTAGAATCGTCTATAACTAATCTCTCGTACTCGATAAAAAGCGTGCATGTAATAACTCGGCGAACAATGAGCGGCGAGCGATCCGACACTGCATGTTGTTGCCGTGCGTGCGGCATGTAAACATACACACGCGGGCCGAATACAGTGTAACATTAAGAGGTAATAAACGTTCTCGCTTGTGATACTAACAATATTTCCGACGTATTTATTTCATGCTATTAGACAGTTGGTTGACTGACACCCGTTCCCTCCTGCTCTCCGGTTTTCGTGTTTGAATGCGATCGCGCGCTTAAATTAAATAAACGGTATTAACCCCGTTACATGGCGCCCAACGTAAAAGAACCTAAGGCGTTTATGATTGTTCAAAACGCCGGTTCTAAACATTGACCTTGCGCTCAGTCAACCAGCAACTTAGGTGGCAATCAAAGTGTTGTTGTGCGCACTTTGTATTAAAAGCCACATAGTAAACATAGCCTCTCTGTTAGTTAACTTGCGAAGGCCCGCCGTGACGATAAATTGTAAACAGTCGCTGTAAGCGCGTTCGAGTGCGACCGAACAGCTCTTAACCAAGCGTAAACACCAATAAGTTTTGAAAGTTGCCGCAAATAAATATTGTACCCGTTGGCCCGGGGAAAACTAACACCGGCAACATTCAAGCAAAAGAAATTCAAATCGATAATTTTATTTGATATCGTGTTGTCTTAACGTAAATGTAATTTTTAAATATTGTTAGCTGCGGTTATTGGTGATTACGCAATTAGACGCTCGTTATAATATTTTAGATACTAACCAACACAGCCGCGCTAACAAACAGTTAGTGCGCCTGATAGGTAGGATCATTATATTGCGCAATAACGAGCAAAGAGCCTTTCGGTAAATACAATAGTGAATACCCTTGGTTGAGCCTATCGTCGGCTAATAAAGTCCAAATTTTCACTTGCTTACTGATTTTTAATATAGCACTCGCACTCGCATCACGCCTGAAACAAGCGCGTAAATTTTCGTTAAAATTAGCCGCAACACAACTAACAGATGACAATGGACCGCATTTAAAAAGAGGTAGAAGACTGGGTATTGACGCTCCAAGACAAGGAAATTAACGAGTACCTCGAACACCTGGAGCTCAAGACAAGCGGGAATAAGCTCTCGAGAACTGGACGACTGCAAAACTGGTTGTTAAGCTACTACTCTGCGGCGGATTTCGCAGAAGTCAACAACCAGCACAGCAATCCGGCAAGAAGGGCAGCCCTACGCTCGGAGATAATAGTATCCTTATGCGCGGAACACACAGCATCCGAGCAAGAAGGAGAACACTCACTAGCCCAGCTAATGCAGAGTGCGGAAGTGATATCGTGAATTCAAGAAACAGCGATAAACATCACAATCGTACTAGACGACGGTGAGAGCACGAGCAGTAATAAGTATATTACGATAACGGCTAATTATGGTAGCCAATTCCAACTCCCGCCGGCATTCGCTATGTGATTCAAGATCTCATTTTCCAGTCCAGGGAGAATGAGAAGAAGCTCGAGCTGCTAGACTCATTGAGAATGAATATGTCGAGTCTAACGAAAGTATTAGACCAAATATACAACAACTGCAGCAATATGAAAAGTCAACTGGACGACCTATCTGCCAGGATGAGCGCATTGGAAAATGCCGAAAACAGAAATGTACAGCAGGACAATGAAAATAATTCCAGGACCCCCCCGGCGGACGCTCCCTTTCGGAAAGGGTGGACAGCATCAACTCAGTGGAGTTAATGCTGAAGTGAATAACCACCCGCCCAGCACGTGGTCATTTCAGCAGACAACAAACCCTTGGTCAACTACAAGGGATGTTGGTCGCATTGTCCGAGGTTGGAAACTGAAGTTTTCAGGAGAGGGCAATGCGAGTATTGACACCTTCCTGTCTAGGCTGGACAACTTGAGGAATGGCGCAGGACTCACAGAAGACGAGATGCTCCTAACGGTATCGGAGCTGCTCGTCTATCCTCCCCTCACCTGGTACGAGACGATGAAGGAGGAATGGTTCTCCTACGCTGAGTTCGAGATAGATGCAAGAAAGTGGTTTGGGACCAGTATGCA